GTGCAAATGGTTCCCATCCATCACCCCAACCATTACAGTCACTCACTATAGTCACTCCTCATCCTCCGGCCACCTAGGTCTGAGCTGATCCAAGGACCTGCCTCTTCTGGATGCCTTACCCTGCTGCCTGCAACCTCTGAGCAGCCTTCTGCCTGCCTGCCTTCCTGCTGATGTCCTGTGGCCTGTGCCTGCCTTCCCGGTGTCCTGTGCTTCTGCCCACCTGCCGACCTCCTGTTTCTGCTGCCTGACCTCCTGTGCCCTCTGTCTTTGCAGCTGCCGACTACAGGTCCATTCTGAGCATTAGTGATGAGGCGGCCAGGGCACGGGCCCTGGACCAGCACCTCAGCACGCGTAGCTATGTCCAGGGGTACTCACTGTCCCAGGCAGACGTGGACGTGTTCAGGCAGCTCTCAGCCCCACCCACGGACTCGAGGCTCTTCCACGTGGCTCGGTGGTTCAGGCACATAGAAGCGCTCCTGGGTGGCCCCTCTGGCAAAGGCGAGCCCTGTGGGCTCCACGCAAGTGAGTAACTGACTCCCCTGCTGTAGGACTTGTGCACCAGGGTCAAGGGCTTCCGCCAGTGTCCTGTGGGGAAGGGCTTTAGAGCAGTGGATGCCGGGGGGAGGAGGGGTGGGCTGTGTGATCTGGTTTGGGGATAGTGTAGCTAGTGTCCTGGCCCATGGAGTTTTCAGGAACAGATATTACTGTGGCTAGCTCAGCAGAGCTGCCATGACCCAGTCTGTTTAGGGGCCACTTGCCATACAGGGCTATTGCCTGCTCTAACTTGACTTGGTTCTTTTCTGTCTCTTTCATAAGATCTCAGAATTTCTCTATGCATGTTATATCACTAAATTCTTCTTTTTTTTTGCCAGACCCAGGGCTGGAACTCAGGGACTGGGCACTGTCCCTGAGCTTCATTTGCTCAAGGCCAGCACTCTATCACTTGAGCCACAGCACCACTTCCAGCTTTTTGTTTATGTAGCACTGAGGAATCGAACCCAGGGCTTCGTGCATGCTAGGCAAGCTCTACCACTCTACCACTAGGCCACATTTCCAGCCCCTATATCAGTAAATTCTAAAGCAGACTTGGTGCTGGTGGCTCATGCCCATAATCCTAGCTACTCATGAGGCTGAGACCTGAGGATTGAGGTTCAAAGCCAGCCTGGGCAGGAAAGCCTGTGAGACTCATTTCCAATTAACCACAAAAAGCTGGGATGGCACTGTGGCTAAAGTGGTGGAATGCTAGCCTTGAGTAAAAAAGCTGAAGGCCAGCACCCAGACCCCAATACTGGGGGAAAAAATTTTGAAAGGGTAATTAATTGGTATGGACCCTTCCAGAGATCAGAGCAGGTCCCATCTCTGCATTGTGTGACTTCAGCCCAGACGTGGCTGCTGCTGTCTCAGGAGGAAATGCTGGGGTTCCTGGGGCTCAGGCTTGGGTTCATCGTCAGCTCTGGCATCAGAGGGCCCCCTCCCATGGTTTCCTGAGGCCTAGGAGCATGGCTCCTGCATCTGTGAGCATGCTTGCTTCTATGCAGGACAGGCTGTGTGTGGTCTTCCGGTTACTGGGGGCTCCTGGGAGCCTTCCAGTCTTGGGGGAGCGGGTGGCAGGCATGCAGAGGCGGCAAGGCTCTGCGGTTAGGGTGTATCTCGGTTTCCTAGGTTCTCCTGCAGCAAATCACATTCCTTGGCACAGGTGAGAGGTGTGGCTCCGTGGCGGTCTCTGCCCAGAATGATGACCTAGGTGACCCCAGGTGGCGTCTGCATGTCATACCCCTTCATCTCCGGCTTGGGGTCAGGGTCTTTCCACCCTGTCTTGATCTAGCCTCAAGTCATAGTGCTAGGAGCAAGACCGGAGAAATGAAATAGGGAAGGGGCTGGCCAATATGGAGAAAGACAGCCTGGCTCACAGCCTCAACCTCAGCCCGTCAGGCTTCCTTCTTGGGCCTTCCTTCTTGGAATAGACACATCCCCATCCGTGCCAAGGAGCAAAGGAGAGCTTCCTCCTGGCCCGTGGGGAGGAAAGCTCCCAGCCGCCCTGGCACTGCCACCATGGGGCGGCTCCCAGGCGCTGACAGGCCTGTCCTGCCCCCAGGGTCCAAGTCAGGATCGCGGGATCCAGGGCTGAAAGCACAGGTGGGGCTGGAACCCAGGCTTTGGGACGGCCCCAGACCCTCCCAGTCTTCAGCAGCAGCCATATTGGGCCTGTCTCAGGTGTCTCTGAAGCCCCGCCCACCCCTCCTCTGCTCCTCCTCCTGCCCCCCTGACTACTACCTTGTAAGCCTTCTCTCTTCGGCTCCAGCATGGAGGTCCCCTTGATCTCCCGGCCCTGAACCAGCTGGCTGGCTCTCACCCTGCTCCAAGGAAGGCCCTTCACAGAGGTAGGGTGTTGGCCGCCCGTGGACGAAGCCATGTCTGCCGGAGGATAAGTGTGCAGCCTTGCCCTCTCCCTCGTGTGGGCGCACCTCAATTTTCTAGTTTAGTTTTCTCCCTGGGTGCGCTCCTGCCAGGTGGATGCTTCCTGGCTGCTCCTTCATCCGTGAGCCTGCCAACCTCCCTGTCCCGCTTTCTGGGCTCAGCTGTCCTGGTGCACAGTGCTACCTGCGTCCCCTATCCTGTTTCCCAGTGCACAGTGCCACCTGCATCCCCGACCCGTTTCCTAGTGTGCAGTGCTGCCCGTGTCCCCCGTCCCGCATCCTGGGGCACAGTGTCACCTGCGTCCCCTGTCCTGTTTCCTCTTGGTGCAGTGTCACCTGTGCTCCTCCACCGCCCATGTGCTGGTGCACTGTGTTGGGTCAGGGACACTTGTTTCAACACTGACCCCATGCCGCCTGGGGTCAGGGCTGTCTGTGGAGAGGTGACACTGTCCCAGAAGAAACTCGCACAAAGGCGGGCAGTGCTCAGGGAGGCTGTGAGGATGAGGGTGCTCAGGAGGCGTGGGAGACCCTCACTCATCTAAAAGTGAGCCCCAAGGACTTGGGGAGGGAGCGGTTGATTGGGAAAGTGGGGCGTTGTGTAACCTCTTCCCCCCGCCATCCCCTGGTCTCTCTTTCCCTTTTGCAAATCTGAACTGACCCTTGCTGTGCCTCCCAGCTACTCCTAGTGGCAGTCCTGACAGGAGCCAGAAGCCCGAGATTGACATGGCCTGGCAGCAGGAGAACTGGGCATGGTGGCCCTCGGCACTGCCCTTGTGTCTGGAGTTTTGGGGTCTTAATGAGGCAGGACTGTCACCAGAATCCTAAAACAGCACTTGAACACCATGGGGGATGGGAGATTTCTCTTCGAGGGCATTGATGGTTTAAAGTGACTGTAAGACTGCACTTGGTGTTGCCACTTGATGTTGGATTAAGAATCTGAGGTTTGCTTCAGCCAGAATTGGCTGCCAGTGCTCAAACCAGAAGTCGCCTATAGGATAGACTTCCTGATGCAGTCTGTCAGGCTGTCTGTCTGTCTGCCTGTCTGTCACCTCCCTCATCTTCCTACAGTGGGCTGTCTTCTCTCGCCCTGGCCTCTCGGGCACAGTGTCTTCCGTCCTGGCCAGCATGGCCTGGGCAAGGGTGAGGGCCACACCTTGCTTCTCTCAGCGGGAACCAGCAGCGAGTGCCTGCAGGCCACCCATGGGCAGAGCCCCTCCTAGGAGGCGGAGGTGTCTGGGACACAGGAAATAGACCCCGTGAGCTGAGCTGGCAGACGGTCTGATAGATCTGATGGGTACCAGGTCTGAGTGGAGGCCTTCGGTCATGCAGGTGTCTCTGCGGCTTAGCAGAGGTAATCAGGCGCTGCCTGGGGCCAGGCGTTGTTCTAAGGTACATTGGAGTCTGCTCTGGGCCACTGAGGCCAGGGTGCAGAGCTGAAGGAAGTGCAGGGCCTGGCTCTGGGCAGGCTAAGGGGCAAGGTAGGCATGCTGGCGGAGCAGGGGTCACCTTGACCTCTGGTTACCTTCATAGGGCTGAGCGTGTGAGGTGTACAGAATTACACCTATAGGCTGCCGGGCGCTACTCAGGAGGCAAAGATGGAGGACTGAGGTTCAAAACAACACAGGCAGAAAAGTCTCTGAGCCTCTTACCTCCTGTTAACCCGCAAAAAGTTCTGGCATAGAGGTGTGGCTCAAGTGGTAGAACACTAACCTTGAGTGAAGAAAACTAAGGGACAGCACCCACGCCCCGAGTTCAATCCCACCAGCACATGCAGAAAAACATTACCCTTGTAGTTTCTCTTAGCTCCAGAGGCAGTCACAATCGTGACATGTGGGCCGAGGGTGGCCAAGTCTGTCTTAGAGGCTCAGGACCCTGGCCAGTGAGGGCTGAGCAGTGTGGTGGCAGGAGCAGGCAAGAGAGCAGGGGCTGTAGGGCTTGCCTGGGCCAGTGGGGCCTGGGGCCAGGGGCACAGTGGTATCCAGAAGTCAGTGTGCTCAGCTGCAGCTGCGATGCCAGCTGCCACCTGCTGCTGGGGACAGAGATGAGGAGCGGCCAGAGGCCATTCTCACTAGCCTGTCCTGGCTGCTTACACTGTCACCCCTGGCTCTGGTGCCTCTAGATGTTAGAAGGGGCCTGTGTCCCACAGAGCCCCCATGGACTGCCCCTTGCCAGGGGGCTCCTGGGGAGGGGTGGCCACGGTGGATGGCAGGAGCAGGGCTGGGCCGCAGTTGTTATGCCAGGCCATACAACATGGCTCTGGGCAGTGTGTGCATGGAGCCGGACACGCGGCTCCAGGCATGGTGTGTGCGTGGAGCTGGGCAGTGTATGTGGCAAGCAGAGCGCGCACTGTGGGGCATTGGGCCGTGCATGGGCGGCTCATGGGCATCTCTGGTGATGCCGGCAGTTCAGCTCCTTGGAACATGGTGCCTGCCCTGAGCGTGTGAACAAAAGCAAGAGAGACTCACTGCTTAATGTGGCTTCATCGAAAAGCACAGTTTCACTGGGAAAACCAGGTCTTGCAAGGCGATGGTGACCTGCACAGGTTTCTGAGCACTGAGTGACAGCCGCTCTTCTGCTTCCAGGTAGAGGCCGGCGCATGCAGCCCCATTGGGCCCCTCCGGCTGGGACTGAGCGGTGCAAGCTTCGCCTGTACAACAGCCTCACCCGGAACAAGGTACGGTGCGCGGTGTCCTCACAGAGTCACCCGTCTTCTGTTTCCCCTGTGGGCTTCAGTCCCTCAGTCGGGTTCAGGATCCTTTGGTTATTTCACACACTGTGGCCCCTGCAGCCTGGAAACAGAGCTGTGCCCGTGACACCTCTGGGTGGCAGCTGGCGCCTTGGCTGGCGTCTTGCTTGAGGTCATTCTCCACCGTGCCAAGCAAGCACTGGCAGGCTTTCAAGAGCATGTGTGGTTGCAGCAGGCACTGTGGCAAGCCAAGCAGGTCAGCCAAGGCCAGAGCTGCCAGCAGGCTTCAGAATGCTGGGTTCTGGTGATGCACACCTGTAATTCTAGCTACTCGGGCGGCTGAGATCTGAGGATTGGGGTTGAAAGTCAGCCCAGGAAGAAAAGTCTGTAAGGCTCTTATCTCCAATTAATTACCAAAAATCTGTAAATGGAGCTGTGGCTCGAGTGGTAGAACACTAGCCTGGAGCAAAAAAATAAAAACACACACACACACACACACACATACACACACACGGGCAGGAAAGAAATGTGAAACTCTTACCTCAGGTTCACCAGCAAAAACACACACACACACACACATACACACACACACGGGCAGGAAAGAAATGTGAAACTCTTACCTCAGGTTCACCAGCAAAAAGCCAAAAGTGAAGTGGTAGTGGTAGAGTGCCAGCTTTGAGTGAGAAAGGCTACCGGCCAGCACCGAGGCTCTAGTCCAAGTCACAGCACCTACACACACGCACACGCACACAAAAACTCTGTGCATGAAAACGAGCCATGTGATGTCCATGCTCCTCCTGGTGCCCTGTGTGGTTGCTTGAGTTTCTTGTGACTCCATTTCATTTCTAACAAGGACGTGTTTATACCTCAAGCTGGGAAAAAGGTGACGTGGTACTGCTGTGGGCCGACCGTGTATGACGCATCACACATGGGACACGCCAGGTGGGTCTGGTGCCACACGCTTGCTGTGGGAAGATGCTCAGAGTCCTGTGGTCATAGCCTATACTCCACCGTTGCCCCCACCTGCTGTCCCCACGGACGTTAGGCTTTTCCTTTCCTTCCAGCTGGAGTCCTCACCTGCCACGCAGGGTGTGCAGAGTTTCTGTGATGCTCAGACCCAAGTCCAGGTTACTCACACCCACCTCACACTCATGGGTGTGGCTTGCCGAGAGTAGATAGCCTTTATTTATTTTTTTTTTTTTTGTCGGTCGTGGGGCTTGAACTCTGGGCTTGGGCGCTGTCCCTCAGCTCTTCAGCTCAAGGCGAGCGCTCTACCACTTGAGCTACAGCGCCACTTCCGGTTTTCTGGTGGTTTATTGGAGATAGGAGTCTCACGGTCTCTCCTGCCCGGGCTGGCTTTGAACCGCGATCCTCAAATCTCAGCCTCCTGAGTAGCTAGGATTACAGGCGTAAGCCACCAGCGCCCGGCTAGATAGCCTTTAGAACGGACTGTAGAATCCCTTTACTCAAGCTGAATGCTGGTGGCTCATGCCTGTAATCCTAGCTACTTGGGAGGCTGGGATCTGAGGATCATGGTTTGAAGCCAGCCTGGGTAGGAAAGTCTGTGAGACTTTTTTTTTTAAGTCGTGGGGCTTGAACTCTGGGCCTGGGCACTGTCCCTGTGTTCTTCAGCTCAAGACAAGCGCTCTACCGCTTGAGCCACAGCGCTACTTCTGGTTTTCTAGTGGTTTATTAGAGATAAGAGTCTCACGGATGTTCCTGCCTGGGTTGGTTTTGAACCACGATCCTCAGATCTCAGCCTCCTGAGTAGCTAGGATTACAGGCGTGAGCCACTGGCGCCCGGCTCCGTGAGACTTTTTATCTCCAAGTAATGCACAAAATACTGGAAATGGGGATTGGAGGCACTGCTCAGTAGGTAGAAGGCCAGCCAATGAGTAAAGTCCTGGTCTCAGAACAAAAAAACAAGAAAAGAAAGAAAACAAAAGTAGTAGAAACGGAACTGTGGCTCAGGTGGTAGAGTACTAGCTTTGAATGAAAAAACTCACAGACAGTAAGGGCAGGGGTAACAAGTTAGACAGAAATGGAATCACTACCTTTCTTATGTAACTGTAACCCCTCTGACATCTCCTAGATAATAAAATGTTTTTAAAAAAGAGCTTTCCTGACCAGATATGGTTGGGGTAGATGTGCTGCACATTTTTTTCAATTTGGAGTATTTGCACTTACCTAATAAGATGTCTTGGGGTGTGAGTCAAGTCTAAGCACACAATTCATTTGTCTTCTCAATTCTTGATACACATAGCATGAAGACAGTTTTAGGTAATATTTTTGACAATTTTGTGCATGCAGCCAAGTTTCATGGTGAGGCGTTTTCTGCTTGTGGGCGCTTCCTGGTTTGGGGTGCTATTTGTGAGCAGGCGTGCAACTGGCAATGTGTATTTCATTCTGCCGTAGGTCCTACATCTCTTTCGACATCTTGAGAAGAGTGTTGAAGGACTACTTCCATTATGACGTCTTTTACTGCATGAACATCACGGACATTGATGATAAGGTAAGGGGAGCCCCACGCTAATGTTTAAGTACAAGCCTGGCACTGGTGGCTCACACCTGTAAGCACCCCTGTGAGGATCACAGTTCATAGTCAGCCTGGGCAGAAAAGTCCATGAGACACTTACCTACAATTAACAGCCAAAAAGGTGGAAGTGGCTCAAGTGGTAGAGCACCAGCCTTGAGTGAAAAAGCTAAAGGACAGTGCCAAGGCCCTTAGTTCAAGCTCCAGGACTGGAACCACACACAAATTAAAATTAGACAAAAACCATAATAAGCCAGATGCCGGTGGCTTACACCTGTAATCCTAGCTACTCAGGAGGCTGAGATCTGAGGATATCAGTTCAAAGCCAGCCCAGGCAAGAAAGTCCATGAGACTCTTATCTCTAATTAGCTAAAGGGGTGCTGTGGCTCAAAGTGGTAGAATGCTAATCTTGAGCAAAGAGCTCAGGGACAGTGCCCAGGCCTTGAGTTCAAGCCCAATGACCGACCAAAGTAATAATAATAATAATAATAATAATAGATGTAAGTGGAAGAGATAGCATGATAAGAGATAGGCTTTGTGAGTAGTTAAATAAAATGGCCTGAGCTGGCTTCACTATGCCTGCCTTGTCCAAGGTGTCTGAGTTCTGCTGTTCCTAGTTTGTGCGCGTCATGCACACGGGGATAGCGCTCCGGAGCCTGCACACTCCGGAGCCGGGTGGGAGAGGGGCGGTGCTCCGGCGCTCTATGGAGGACGGCTGGCTTCATGTTGCCTCTGGAGCCTGTTCCTTAGCACCAGGTGTCCAGAACTCAGTCCCTCTTGGCAGGTGGCAGGCAGCAGGCAGCATGGGTTCCTTGGTGACAGTGTGGGACCCTCAGTTGACTCAGACTGCCCTGCCCACCTCTGAGCCAAGCCGGGGAGTGCTGGGGGATGGGGAGGACGTGGCTCCCAGCAGTGTGTCTCTGCCTCCACAGATCATCAAGAGGGCCCGGCAGAACCACTTGTTCGAGCGCTATCGGGAGCAGAAGCCTGAGGCCGCCCAGCTGCTGGAGGATGTTCACAGCGCCATGAAGGTGGGCTGCAGGCCGCCCTGGATGCGTGACCTCCGCTCTCTCAGCCTCCTCCTCACCCTTCCTCCCTATCTCTCTTCTTCCTTGTCTCCCTGGCCTCACTCTTTCCCTTCTCTCCCTTTCTTCCTCTCTCCCCAGCTTCCCTCTCTCCCTGTATCCTTCTCTTCCTTCCTCCCTCTCTCCCCTGCCTCTCTCCCCGCCTTCCTCTCTCCCAGCCTCCTTTTCTTCTGGCCTCCCCAGAGTGATGCTTCTGTTGATGGATATTTACCAAGTAGGATTGAGCTGTCTGTGTCAGGGCTGTTGTAGTCTCAGCTGGTATGGCTCTGGCCCTGGCCTGTGAGAAAGTCATCAGGGCAGATATACAGGGACAGGGTGTGGGGCAGGTGGCATTCCTGACACTTCTGGAAATTCCAATCTGTCCTGATGCCACTAGTGCCGCTTGTTCTTGAAGCCGCCTCTGTGCGTCTGTGCAGGTTTCCTGCCCCCACACCCGCCTGCACCTATTCCCAAACACAACACAGGAGCTACCTTCACCATCCCAGGAGTTTTCAGAAGTTAAAGAATCTAGTATTTTCACTTAAAGTAAGGGTTATTATCAGAAAACAGTATGACTAGACACAGTCCTTGTCCTCTTTAATAATAGCAGTTACCCTTAGTGATTACAGTAATAATTACTGGCATGTTTGTGGCATTTCATCTCTGGAAGGAGAGAGGCTTGGATTTACAGCACGCTTGCCTTGGCACTTGACACTCACCAAGTATACACCTTCATTCATTCTGAGAACAGTCCAGAAGTACTCTCATGTCCATTTGGTTTGAGGAAAGCCAAGCCACTGAGCAGGAAGTGCCCTACCTGGCCTCAGGCGGGGAGGGAAGTGTCAGGGTTCCCAGACAGGGAGACGGGGGTCTGGTGACCACTGCCAGCTGCTAGGAGCAGCTCGGGCATCGTACCCTTGGGCGGTGGGAACACATCTGTTCTGCCTTTGGTCAGCTGGGGCAGCCCAGAGCCTGCGCGGTGTGTAACCGCTTTCATATCCTCCCTTACAGCCGTTCTCAGTAAAGCTAAGCGAAACCACCGATCCTGACAAGAGGCAGATGCTGGAGCGCACTCTGCAGGCCGCTACACTGGCCGCAGAGCCACTCGAGCAAGCGGTGCACTCCAGCCTGGCCGGAGAGGAAGTGGACCGCCGCACGGAGGTGAGCTCCCCGCTCACACATGCAGCCGGAACACTGCACACTAGTCCATCTTCACTCAGTGTTTGATGCCCTGGGCCTGTGGTCAGCTTCCTGGTGCCACTGGAGAGGGACTCAGGGTCCTTGTGAATCCTGTCCATCCTGCATCTGCCTGGAAGGCAGCAGAATGGCCTCCACGGGCCCTCTCAGTCAGGGCTCAGTGTAGAGCAGCCCTGGGTACCTGGGGCGGTGGAGCGCGGAGCATCAGTCTGTTGGAGAAAGGTCTCTTTCTGACAAAAGGTGTGCCCTGCTTTGTGCCCCTGCACCTTGAATACACAGGAGGGCCTCTGTTCATCCTGCCGCCGCCCCCTGCTGGTCACCCACAAACTCCACAGAAGGGAAGCACAGGAAGCACTGCAGGAATTAGTTTTTGGGTTTTTTTGGGGGGGTCCCATCGTGGGGCCTGAACTCTGGGCCTGGGCGCTGTCCCTCAGCTCTTCAGCTCAAGGCTAGCGCTCTACCATTTGAGCCACAACGTCACTTCCGGCTTTTTTCTTTTTGCTTATGTGGTGCTGAGGAATGGAACCCAGGGCCTCATGCATGCAAGGCAAGCGCTCTACCCACTGAGCCATCTTGCCAGCCCTGCACTGCAGGAATTAGATACATTATCCAGACATCCCTCATCTCTGCCCGCCCAGCTGTCCCCTAGCTCACTCTGTCCCCTGGCCTCACCTGCTGCTCTACCATTTGCTGGCCTTTTCTTTTTTTGGGGTTGTTTTTTTTTGGGGGGTCCGGTCATGGGGCCTTAACTCTGGGCCTGGGCGCTGTCCCTCAGCTCTTCAGCTCAAGGCTAGCACTCTACCACTTGAGCCACAGTGCCACTTCCAGCTTTTTTTTCTTTTTGCTTATGTGGTGCTGAGGAATCGAACCCAGGGCCTCATGCATGCAAGGCAAGCGCTCTACCACTGAGCCACCTTCCCAGCCCCTTGTTGGCCTTTTCTTTTGGGTTTTTGGTCTTCTGTTCCCACACAGCAGATTGCTTGGTTATGCCTGTGTCTGAGCTTTGTGGGGACAGGTCCTTGGGCATGGTGTTCACGCTGAGTGCTTGAACTCTCTTTGTGTTTGTCTGTTTTATGCCAGTCCTGGGGATTGACTCTGGGCTTGGACACTGTCCTTTAGCTTTTTTGCTCGACTGGTACTCTACCACACTTGAGCCACAGCTCTACTTCCAGCTTTTTTTTTTTTTTAATGCTGGTTAATTGAAGATAAGAGACCCATGGACTTTTCTGCCCTGGCTATCTTTGAACTGGGATCCTCAGATCTCAGCCTCTTGAGTAACAAAAAAGCTAAAGGAGAGGGCCATAGCCCTGAGTTCAAGTCTCAGTACTAGCATAGAAACAAAATCAAGCCAACAGGAAGAAAGCAAGGCCAGCCTCCCATCTGAGGTGAATGCAGTTGGGACATTCACCCGATGGTGGGAAGTGATGTCTCCATGGGTCATGTGAGATGTTTGGATTCAGGGCAGGTCTCTTGAGCACTAGCCATCTTGGTGAAACCTACTCCATGTGTGGCATCCTCTTTCTCGTTCTCTAGGTGTTGCTGGAAGAGGCAAAGGATTTGCTTTCAGACTGGTTGGACTCTGCAGGCGGCAGTTCCGTGACTGACAATTCTATTTTCTCCAAGCTGCCCAAGTTCTGGGAAGGGGAGTTCCACAAAGACATGGAGGCCCTGAATGTAAGTGCCTCTCATTGTCTTGTCCTTATTTAGCAGTGAGGGACCCAGTCCCCAGATTCCTGTTGGGTAAAACCAGAAGAATGTGTGCCCCAACATACTCGTTTGCCAGCTCAATCAAGCAGCTAAGTGATCCTTGAACTTGACCCCTGTCACCTGTCACCCTGCCACCCACAGGTTCTCCCTCCTGACGTCCTGACCCGAGTCAGTGAGTACGTGCCAGAAATTGTGAACTTTGTCCAGAGGATTGTGGACAATGGTTATGGGTAAGCAAAGGCCTCATAGCCTTCCGGTGTGTTGGGGGAACACAGCTCCCCAACTCCAAGTCCAGGTCCAGAAGGCAGAGCTCACGCTCCGGGCTTCCTGCAGGCTGGGCTCGCAGCATCTCAGGCTCAGTGTTCTGCACTGGCTTCTAGTCCTATGAACAAACTGGGGATTATAAAGTGTGGGGGAATGGCTTTGTTGGAAGCAGGTGGCACACACATGTAATCTTACTACTCAGGAAGCTGACATTTGAGGACCATGGTTCAAAGCCAGCCAGTTGGACAGACAACTCCAAGAGACTTTTTTCCCCAACTCCCCAAAGCCAGAAGTAGAACCTTGGAGCAAATAATAATAATAATAACAATAACAAAAAGCTCAGGGACATTACCCAGGCCCTGAGTTTAAACCCTAGGACCAGCACTAAACAGGTAGGGAGGTAGTTAGGTAGATAGCTAACTAGATACAGTAAAAAAAAAAAAAAAAAAAGCCCTTAGGTTTTTCATCTCCAATAGTTGTTTTTTCATTGCCATAGCTGCTTAACCAAGAAAAGCCATCATGTTGCTGGAGGCAGGAAGCACCAGGGAGAAGGGCTTCCTGGCCATATCCCGCTCTTATCTCCTTAGCCCAGCTATGCCCCAGCTGGGCTAAGGAGCCCGTGTCTGGCTGACCAGCCTTGTAGACAGCACACCTTGGTACCACAGGGAAGATCCGGCCGAGCCTGCTCAGAATCTAGGCCAGAGCAGCATGATGCTGAACATGCACACTGCACGGCCTGAGGAGACGGCACCCCACTCACACTATGTGTATGCATCCTGCTGGGCACCACACTGAGCTCATGCCTGCGATCCCTGCTACTCAGGAATCTGAGAGCTGAGGATCCCGGTCTGAAGCCAGCCTGGCAGATAAATAAGACTTAACTCCCATTAACCACCCAAAAGCTGGAAGTAGAGCTGTGGCTCAAGTGATAGAGTTCCAGCCTTGAGCAAAAAAAGCAAGGAACAATGTTCAGGCCCTGAGTTCAAGCCTCAGCACTCGTAGGTATACACGCACCTACTCATCCTCCGCACACCCCAGCATGCACCCTGTTGCTTGGCTGTGGTTTTAGTGCACAGATTACTGCACCCTGGCTCCTGTGCAGCTGTCCAGCTGCAGGAAACATCCCTAGCATCTTTACAACTGGTGTCTTAAGGACCCAGAGATGAAGGCGCAGCTGAAACCAGGCATCTGGAAAGCACTTGGCACCTCCTCTGCCAGCAGGGCCACCCTGTGAGCCCCTGGGGAGCCCTGCGCTGGTGCTGGGTGAGCTGCACAGATTGGACGAGGTCAGCCTGCAGCAGCACCATCCTCCCCCTGGGCAGCCGGACACAGCGGCCTGCCTGACGGGCAGAGGCAGGGCCAGACCCAGGGTGGGGAAGGCAGTCGTAGCCATGGCAGGGCCACTGGAGGTGGGGTGCACACTCAGCAGAAGACAAGCCACACAGGCCTTGGTCCTCACCAGCCCACAGAAGGCAGGCAGGGTCTGTATGGCACCTGCTAAGACAGTGAGGAGGCGGCCTCCAAGCTGATGGCCTTGTCCCCGTGCAGCGTACGATGCCCTGAACAGCCGCCTGGGGTGCGGGAAGGTCAAGGTGCAGCAGTCCTCAGTTCTACTCAGTTCTAGTCCCTCCCCCCCCCGCAGCCTGTGACTCTCACTGTGATGTGGAGAGTCTGCATGTTCAATTCTCATCCCCTTGTTTCTCAGGTATGTCTCAAATGGGTCTGTCTACTTTGACACGGTTAAGTTTGCATCCAGTGAGAAACACTCCTACGGAAAGCTGGTGCCTGAAGCTGTTGGGGACCAGAGAGCTCTTCAGGAAGGGGAAGGTAAGACTGGAAGGGAGCAGGCTTGCTTGCTTGCTCAGCTTTGGGCTGTTGCCCTGCACCCCACCTGAACCGTGGTCACGGGGTGTCCCTGCCTAGCTCTGGGGTTCACTGAAGAGTACCTAGGCATTTTCCATATAGAACCATGGAGAACTGGGTGCCAGTGGTTCACGCCTGTAATCTTAGCTGCTCAGAAGGCTGAGCTGTGAGGATTGTGGTTCAAAGCCAACTTGGTAGACAAAACTGAAACTGTTCAGTAAAGAAAAAAACCGAAAAGCAGCGCCTTGAATAACAAAAGCGAAGGCGACAACACCCTGGCCTAGAATTCCAGCCCGGCACTTACACTGAAAACAAGATAAATGCAGGCCTCTGAGATAGGAAAAATAAAAAGCTAAAAGCTAGCTGGTTCTCCACAAAGATGAGTAAAGCAGAACTGTGGCTGGAAGGGCAGACACTGCACGCACGTGCACGCGTGACAGCAATTGAAGTCCTCAGTGGATGGTGCTGCAGGCCCATTGTGGACACCCGCGCAGCCCAGGAAAGGTGGGCAGAGCCCGCCATCCTCTCACCCCATCCGTCCTGTTTCTTGGGCTTGGCTTACCTCTGTGTTCCACCTGGCACTTGGTATTTTTCTGTCTGCCAAGTCTCCTTAAAGGGAGACCTCCATCACAGGCCTCTGAGAGCAGTGTCAAACCACTTGGAGCTGGTGGCATCTGCCTGTGTGTGTTGTTTGGGTTGAAGGGCACAGAGCGGCCCTTGGGGACATCCAGGTGAACTTGAAAACAGATAAAATAGGCTGAGATGTGCTAGAGGCACACAGGGAAGGGGACAGCCCTCGACGAGGTCCACATCCCCCCGCACTGGGCAGAGCTGCATGTCCCAGGAAGGTCTGTGAGGGGAAGTGGAGGACAAGAGGCCCCGTGGCTGCATGGCTTGGTCCTGCTTCCCACCGCGAGTGTCAGCAGTAGAGACCTGGAAGAGAGAACAGACAGCTCTTGACCCGTGCAGATTTACTCAGGTAGAAAAGGAGAAAGAAAGTCACCAGGAAGATAAGCTTCCTTTATGCCCCAAAGTCCCCATGTGGGTGTCCAAGACACGACAGATTTGGAGCAGCAGGTTACTGAAAGTATCCCGAGATGGAATGTGGAAGAGGGCTGGGACGGCCCAGCACACTTACAACACACAGAACTGTAAGTGGGTAGGGTACCGTGTTCTGCTGCGGTTCCCAGAGTACACTGCGAAACGTGGTTCATACCTGTAACCCTAGCTACTCAGCAGGTAGAAATCAGGAGGATTATAGTTTGAGGCCAAACTGAACAAAAAGAATGAAGACAGGAGGGAGGGACTGGGAGAGAGTGAAGGAAGGGAAGACACTGTATGAAAGGAAATGGGGGCTGGGAAGGTGGCTTAGTGGTAGAGTGCCTGCCTCACGCATGAGGCCCTGGGTTCAATTCTTCAGCATCACATAAGCAGAAAAAGTCAGAAGTTGCGCTGTGGCTCAAGTGGTAGAGCACTAGCCTTGAGCTGAAGAGCTGAGTCAGGACAGTGCCCAGGCCTAGAGTTCAAGCCCTACAATCGATGAAATGAAGGAAGGAAGGAAATGTACAATGTACTTATTACCAGATTCGTGTAATTGCATATCACCTTTGTAACAGTAAAGGAAATATTTTTTTTTTAAGTTAGGAAGGGAAGCAGAGGAAAATAAAGGACATTGTCCAAAAAACGTATACATCTGCCTTATGGTAGCCCCTCTGTACAACACACTCACTAATAGTAATAAAACAAAAAAAAGTTAATGACAACTTGTTTAAATAGGGATACAGGTGGACCCATTGCAACAATGAGATGTACAAGATGTTATGTCGAAAAATGAACTTTACAACTTTGGGGGGGGGCGAGGGGAGGTGCCGGGGAGAATGGGAAGGGATGGGAAGGGGAAACAAAGGAGGAGGTAACAATGCTTAATAAGAAATGTACTCATTACCTTGCCCATGTAATTGTAACCCCTCTGTACTGTATTTTCACACAAAAAAAGTTAATGAGACCCTATCTCAACCAAAAGGCCTGGCATAGTAGAATACACTTGTCATTCCAGCTACTTGGGAGGAAGCATGGATAGGAGGTGGTAGGAGGATCATGAGTCCAGGCTGGCCCCTGCAAAACTGTGAAACTTAGAAAATGAAAGCAAAGAGAGTCGGGGGTGTGGCTCATGCGGTAGAGCGCTTGCTCACCATGTGCAAGGCCCTGAGTTAAAACTGCGAAAGGAAAATAATCATCAAATGCAGATATTCAGGGGTCACCATGTTCATAATTCAAAAGCCTAGGCATATGTTTTCTGTGGAGTGACAGGGGGCTAAAAGAGGAGCCCTGGAGCTACGCTGTGCTGTGCTTGGGGTCTCACTGGTAGGTAGCTGGCGGTGGGGGGGGGGGTAGGGATCAGGGAGAGAGAGAACCAGGTAGAGTCTCTCCTGGGTGTCTGATTTGTATTTGAAGGGATTGTCATTCACTTGCAAACCCTCATATCAGAATGTTCACGGTAGTCTGTTCTGGGCTGAAAGTTTGTCACTCTGCCACCCTCCAGCGTTTCCTCCCTGTGCAGATTCCCTTCTTGCCATCTCTCCTTGCCTGAAGCTTGTCTCCGTCCCAGGATTTGCCCTAGGCCTAGTGAGCAGCTCCTGGGGAGGACCTGAGAGCCAGCCCCACCCTTGGGGTCCAGGCTAGAGGCTCTAGGACGAAGCCTTGGCTGTAGCTGCCCACCTGACTCCCTGCTCCCCTGTGGAGTGGGGCTGACTTGCAGGTCCTTAGGGTCCATAGCTGCGGTCCATGGGTCTGTCTGTGCCAAGGTGCTGTCTCTGAGACTCTAACTACCCTGCATCCTGTGCGCCTCATGGCAGCCCCCTGGCCCCACCCCTGCTGCAAGGCTCACTTGGCCCCATGCCTGCAGCGGGGTTCCGGGGCTTTCCCCCCCACTGTGTTCAGCCTCTCACCTCTTCTCACACCTGTTGTGACTCGAGGGACAGGGTCACCCCCTTGCTTCCACCCCTCAGGAAGTGGCCCGCACGTCTCCCAGGGCCCAAGGCAGACAGCCATGCAGGCCCCACTGGAGCCAGGGTCCACCAAGCCATGCTCCGCATCACTGGGTGCCATGCCTTGTGGCTTTGGTGCAGAACAAACGTGGCCTGTTTCTGGAAGCATCAGGGGCCACGGCTGCAGCCTAGGGAAGCAGGGTGAGAGGCATGTGGCCAAGCCCAGGGTCTGCCCACACCCTGGCATGTCCTAAATCAAGACACCATGCTGGTCACAGCCAACTTGAGACTGTCTGAGCCAGATTAGTAACCTAGCGACAAGGATCAGCCGGGTACCCCGATGGCCTTGAAGTGAAGTGCCGGGCATTCCTGTGGGTGCCTGCCGGCTGCTGACTGACCCCACCTCCCTCCCTCCCCGTCCCCAGGAGACCTGAGCATCTCTGCAGACCGCCTGGGCGAGAAGCGCTCTCCCAACGACTTTGCCCTGTGGAAGGCCTCCAAGCCCGGGGAGCCGTCCTGGCCATGCCCCTGGGGACAGGTGAGGGGGCATTACTGGGGAAAGGTGGTAGAACAGGAAGCTGGCATAGGTAGGCCTGCCCCCCAGAGGCAGCTCTGTGTGTGAGGGGCAGCTGCTGGGCCAGCACGGGGCTTCCCGGCCTGGGATGCGCTCCGCCTCCCGCTGAGCCACTTCCTGGGACCCTTTTTTCCTGTCTGTAAGTTGGGGGGAGGGGCATAGTTAGATTTGACCACTTGGGAGGCCTCTCGATGGTATGCTGTTCCTTTGGGTGTTCCTAGCCCCCAGGCCACATGGCCCTGTCTGGAAGATGAGACCTGCGGGAAGGTGGAGCCATCTGTCTCTGGTGGGTGCTGGAGCTCTGGGATGATGCCCACACAGCCAAGCTGTGGCTTACACCAGTCTTCAGCTTTCTCCATGAGCCCACGCCAGTGAGCGTCGGGGGCAGTCCTGGGTCAGGGAGGGGGGTGGCCAGCCAACACGGCCCCTTCTCTCTGCAGGGCCGTCCGGGATGGCACATCGAGTGCTCAGCCATGGCCGGCACGCTCCTGGGCGCCTCGATGGACATTCATGGAGGAGGGTTCGACCTCCGCTTCCCCCACCACGACAACGAGCTGGCCCAGTCAGAGGTAGGTAGAGCAGCCGCGTCCTGCTAGGCGGAGAGTGCGCGGTGTCCTTCCTGCTGGGCTGTTGGCAAGGCCCTCTTTGAAGCCTCTCTTAGTAGCCTCAAGGTGTGTGGGAGTTGGGGCCCTAGGCCTCTGGTCTGATTTCCATGTGATAGCCTAACCTTGACTCACAGGCTCAGGTTCAAACCCGTTGTGTTACCTGACGGCAGGTAACCCAGCGTGGTCCATAGGGGAGGTGGCATCTACCACGTGGATGGTGTGAGATGACACAGGCCAGGCGACGGCATCCGGTGTCCAGCACCCTCGGCAGGCAAGGCCCCAGGCCATGTGGCCGAGCCTTTCCTGTCTCTTTGCACGTAGGCCTACTTTGAAAACGACTGCTGGGTCAGGTATTTCCTACATACTGGCCACTTGACGATTGCAGGCTGCAAGATGTCAAAGTCACTAAAAAACTTCATCACCATTAAAGACGCCTTGAAGAAGCACTCGGGTAAGCTGGCCTTCTCCCGAGATACCTGCGTGCGCGTGACCACAGGTCGGGGGAGCGGAGGCTGCTCAGGGAATAAGTGTCACCCTGTGTGTTCACTCCCAGCACGACAGTTGCGGCTGGCGTTCCTCATGCACTCGTGGAAAGACACACTAGATTATTCGAGCAATACCATGGAGTCTGCGCTCCAGTATGAGAAGTTCCTGAACGTAAGTTCCCAGCTCCTGCCAAGACTGTGGGTTCTGTGGTCGCTCTGTTCTTCTGACTGAGGCCCAGGGACATGTAGAATCCTGTCAGGGCCGGGGGTGGTGGGGGGCTAGTGAATTCAGCCACTTCTTGAAACATCCAGGAGTTTGCAGAGTTGATGGAGACTGAGTTCACATGTGGTAGCGTGTCATTCTGACCTGGGATTACTACCAATGAGTGCCTTTTGGGCTCCAACACTTCTGCCCCAACAACAGAAAGGTTATATTGTGTGCCTTTGTTGTGATTTGTCAAGTCTTGTCAAAAGAAAAATCTGAAGCTGGGCATCGATGGCTTATATCTGTAATTTTAGCTACTCAGGAGGCTGAGATCTGAAGATTGCAATTTGAAGCTAGCCCAGTCAGGAAAGTCCCCAAGACTCCTTATCTCCAATTACCTACCAGAAAACCAGCAGTGACACTGTGACTTAACGCGATAGAACACTAGCTTTGAGCAAAAAAGCTCAGGGACAGCGCTCAGGCACAGCGCCCAGGAGCTGACTTTAAGCACCATAACTGATGAAAAGAAAAAGAAAAAAGTAAAATCTGGAGAGCCAGTGCTAGTGGCTCATGCCTGTAACCCCAGCTACTCAGGAGCCTGAGATTAACAATCACAGTTGAAAGCCAGCCTGGGCAGAAAAGTCTGCGAGACTCTTAATCTCCAGTTCACCACCAAAAAGCTAGAAGTAGGGCTGTGGCTCAAGTGGTAGGGTGCCAGCCCTGAGTGAAAAAGCTAAAGGATAGCACCCAGGCCCCGAGTTCAAGCCCTAGTACTTGTACACACATACAAATTTCATTAGGAAAATGTCAGAAACTTCTAGATGGGAAAGTTGCCTAGATGCTCATGAGTGATTTTTTTCTGACTCCAGGAGTTTTTCCTAAATGTGAAAGATGTGCTTCGCGCTCCTGTTGATATCACTGGCCAGTTTGAAAAGTGGGAAGAGGAGGAAGCGGAGCTGAATAAGATGTGAGGGGCAGCCTAGTGCTGGGTCTGCCATGTGCACGTGACGTGAGAGCATGTGTGGGCCAAGGCGTCCTGGGGGCAGGGAGCTGTGGGCCTGTCACTGGGGACACTGTGGAGTCATCTCTGACCGCTCCTGTCCCCTCCTCCTCCTGGCTCAGCTTCTACGACAAAAAGACAGCCGTCCATGAGGCCCTCTGTGACAATGTGGACACTCGCACCGTGCTGGAAGAGATGCGCGCCTTGGTCAGTCAGTGCAACCTGTACATGGCGGCCCGCAAGGCGGCCCGGAGGAGGCCCAACCGGGCTCTGCTGGGGAACATCGCCCTGTACCTCACCCACATGCTCAAGGTGAGCAGGCCCCCAGACATGGGCACCAGTCTTAGCTCCACTCCCCCCAAACCCCCCCCCCCCCCCCCCCCCCGCCCTTTCCTGTGGACTGGATTAGAGTGTAGGTGTTGGGCCAGAGGCATTGCTCGGCCCTTAGTTTCTCTCTGCTCCCATCTTGGAGTTTGCAGAGCCAAGCCGGTGGCAAGGCCTTGACTTTGGCTGCACCACCGTGTCAGGAGGCAGTGCTGCCAGGCCAGCTGGACCCCCGGCTGCCTGCCCGCCCTGCCCTCTGCCTCGGTGCTGGCTACCAATGGCCTCAGGCTGGAAAAGTGCCAGAGCTGCAGCCAAGCTCCGACTCACCCCAGATGGATGAGGTCACGTGGGATGGGTCCAGGGCTCTGCCCTTTCTGTCCCTTCAGTAGTCAGTCCTGGAGACCTCCCTGGAGGGGCTGCCCCTGCCCCCACAGACAGCAGAGCACTGGGTTGGCTGTAGGCCGTGGGCGATGCTGTACCTGTTAAGTCTGTCTGGTTCTTTCCTTAGATCTTTGGGGCTATAGAAGAGGAAAGCTCCTTGGGCTTCCCTGTGGGCGAGTCTGGCACCCGTGTAAATGTGAGTAGAACAGTCCGGGGCCCAAGGGTCCCCTCCATGCTGGACCTGGGGTTTGCTGCAGCTGCCCTCCGGCCCCACCCAGTGTGCATGTCTTAGAGCCCCTACCCCTCCCACTGTCGAAGCCCTCCGGAGTCTCACCTTCCTCTGCCGACACTTTGGACACAGCCTGGATGAGGTTCCGTCCTCACCGCCTTCTAGGCTGAGCCGGGTCGAGTCTCCTCTGTGACTGAGAGTGTAGGCAGAGAAGGGACTGGAAGGCCGTCCTCGGGCCATGGCCCAGGGGCACCTTGTCACCCTGCCCGGCTGCTCTAAGCCAGGTCTGGGCTCTGGATGGGGCAGTTGCCCCCCAGCCAAGCAGCATCAGGAGACCTCACTTGTGGGTTCTGGCACAGGCCCAGCTGTCCCTGCCTCCCTTAGCACACCAGAGTCCACAGAACTCACACCCAGAGCCCACACACATCCTCCGGTGCGCTTTAAGCCCGCTGCAGATGTTTATAGTTCCTAATACGCCGCAAGTGCTGTGCAAGTGCTGTATCGAATGACAAGGAAAACCCCGCTGAGTGGTTTCGGGGCAGATGTAACTTGCTCCCCCTCCCCACCAGGTGTGTGGCCAAGCGGCCAGCCTGGATGTGAGCGGACACTAACAGTGTCCACTCGGTGTTTTGCCACAGGCTGTAAGCCCACACTGCTGAGGAGGGCTCTCCACTGTTGGCCTCTGCCCACAAGGCTGGGCAGAAACCAATGCCCAGCCTAGCATTGGTGGCTCACGCCTGTAACCCTAGCTACTCAGGAGGCTGAGATCTGAGGGCCAGGGTTCAAAGCCAGCATAGGCAGAAAAGCTTGTGAGACTCTTTAGAATGTAGAGGTGTGGCTCAAATGGTAGAGCACTAGCCTTGAGTGAAAACGCCAAGTGAGTGTGTGAGGCTGTGAGTTCAAGCCCTGACACACAAAAAACAATGCAACAACAAGAAAAAATGATGTCAAGCCAGTGCTGGTGGCTCACACCTGTAATCCTAGCTACTCAGGAGGCTGAGATTTGAGAATCACAGTTCAAAGCCAGCCTGGGCAGCAAAGTCCATAAGACTCTCATCTCCAATGAACTACCAGAAAACCGGAAGTGCCATGGCTCAAGTGGTAGAACCCTCACCTTGAGCTGAAGAGCTCAAGGACAGCACCCAGGCCCAGAGTTCAAACCCCACAACCGATTAAAAAAAAAAAAAAAAAGATGTCAGACCACGCTCGGCTTTGACACGGACCCAGTGTCCACCACACAGCCTGAGGCCCCCCCCCCAACCCCCCTGAGCTGGAAGACGGGAGGCAACCATGGTGAAGAGCCGTCTGCATAGAGGTTGGAAACCCACCCAGAACAGGCCTGCTTGTCTTCAGTTGGTCTCCCTTGCATCGCTTGTGTTGTGACTGCTGCACACATGTCAGCTGTGTTCCTCTACAAGGAGGAGGAAGAGGAGGAGGATGACGACTAAGACTGCTCCTCTGAGACTTGTGTCTCTCCCCCTCCTTCCCAGGAGAATGCTCAACAGCTTGGTAGAAAGGGGATATAAATATTTAAGTGTAACAGCTGCTGTTGTAATAGAAACAAGAGCTCAGTCAGTACAACATAAAAAGGCAACAACACCTTGAAGGCTGCCTCTCACCATGAGCAGAGTGAGGAACCCCTGTGGGGGAGGGTGGGGTTGAGAGGACAGATGCACCCTCAAGAATCGCCCTGGTAGGGGCAGCCCTGTCAAGGCCCTGCCCAAGCCTTGGCAGTGTCAGAGCTGCTGTTGTGTTTTCTTTTTTTCTTTTCCTTCCTTCCTTCCTTCCTTCCTTCCTTCCTTCCTTCCTTCCTTTCCTTCGTCGGTTGTGGGGCTTGAACTCTGGGCTTGGACGCTGTCTCTGCGCTCTTCAGCTTAAGGCAAGCGCTCTACCGCTTGAGCCACAGAGCCACTTCCAGTTTTCTGGTGGTTTTTATTGGAGATAAGAGTCTCACGGACTTTCCTGCCTGGGCTGGCTTTGAACCTGGATCCTTAGATCTCAGCCTCCTGAGTAGCTAGGATGACAGGTGTGAGCCACCGGTGCCCAGCTGGCTGTTGTGTTTTCTAGAGCCACCTTTGCTTTTGAAAAGATATTGCTATTTTATTTTATTTTTGCCTGTTTTGGGGCTTGAACTCAGCATTTTCTCTCTGTCTCTCTGTCTCTGTCTCTGTCTTTCTCTCTCTCAGCTTCTTTGCTAGCACTCTACCATAGCTTCACTTTTGGCTTTTTGTTGTTGTTGTTGATTAATTGAAGAAAGAGTCTCACAGACTTTCCTGCACAGGCTGGCTTTGAACCAGGATCCTCATATCTTAGCCTTCCACGTAAGGTTACAGGCATGAGCCACTAGTGCAGAACATGTTGCTGTTGTGTGGTGTGTACATACGCACACACATGCACTGGTACTGGGGGTTTGAACTTAGCCTTTTACCACCTGAACACCCCTCTTCTTTTGGCTTTCGGTGGTTAATTAGAGATGAGTCTCACAGACCAAACAATACTAAGGTAATGGTTTCATCAAAAACCCCAACCAAAATACACCTATTTTAAAGACAACTGCTTCTGAACTTGAGTAAAGGACATAACCATCAACAGTCCTGTATCCATGAGCCCTTTGAAGTTGACTCAGTGGAAATGAGCAGCCAGCGGTGTGCCTGCATGATGAGCCTGCTAGGCACCAGGGCTGAGCAGCCTGCGTCCCACTGCTCGCCGGGTGTGAAGCCCCTGGGCTGACTTCCAAGTCTGAAGTTCTGCAGGAGGATGTGAGGGTGGACTGGCTGTGGCCCTGTCACCCCATGGATCTCAGGGTGAGCCAGGCTGATCTGGCTGGCGTGGAGGTGTCCCCTTCCTCCATGGTGCTTTTCCTGTGTCCCTCCTCAAGTTGTGCTCAGGGGAAGAACTGACTCTCCCCAACACAGCGGGTCATTCTCTGTTAAAGGTACATGAATATACCATGCATTCTGCAAAAAGAACCTACAGACCTGTGCTGGTGGCTCACATCTGAAATCCAAGCTCCTCAAGAGGCTGAGAGCTGAGGATTAGCTTGAGAGATGTGTATCACACCAGCAGCGGGCAGAATGAGTACCAGTACAGGTCACTTGCATACCTTGTGTGCACTGTGGGTCAGGAGCAAGGCCACCAACTCTGGGGTACTGCCCCTGCCCTCTGATGGCCTGCTGGACAGTTAGGTGTTCAGTTATAAATACAGTGTCTGCTCTTGTGACCCAAACCCATTCTTTCTGCAGCTCGAGTCCACAGTCATGCCCTACCTGCAGGTCTTGTCGGAATTCAGAGAAGGTGTGCGAAAGATTGCCCGGGAGAAAAAAGGTGAGGTTCTATTGTTCTGGGAGCAGAGTAGAGTATAGCTGGACTGGTTGGTGCCATGCTCCGCCCATCACCCTGCTCAGGTGGCACACACATTTCAGGCTGGGTTTTGTTTGCTTATATTATTGGTCAGGGGGCTTGAACTCAGGGCCTAGGTGCTATCCCTGAGCTCTTTTGCTCAAGGCTAGCACTCTACCACTTTGAGCCACAGTGCCACTTCGGGTTTTCTGGTGGAATTGGAGATAAATCTCATGGACTTTCCTGTCTAGACTGGCATTGAACCACGATCTCAGATCTAAGCCTCCTGAATAGCTAGGATTACAGGAATGAGCCAGTGGTGCTCAGCATGTTTCAGGCTGTTTTTTTTTTTTGGCCAATTGTGGGGCCTGAACTCGGCCTGGCCGCCGTCCCTCAGCTCTTCAGCTCAAGGCTATCACTCTACCACTTGAGCCACAGCACCACTTCCGGCCTTTTCTGCTTATGTGGTGCTGAGGAATCGAACCTAGGGCCTCATGCACGCAAGGCAAACTCTCTACCACTGAGCCACCTTCCCAGCCCTCAGGCTGTTTTTGAGAGCCTTCTTGGATGAACCTCTGTATCCCACCAGCCAGTTCAGGTGACCACAGAAGTGCTCAGCCAGAAGTGCTCAGGGTGAGAGGTTAGATTGACAAAGGCGAGTGGGGGCTGGGCCTGTTGGCAGGCAGGTGGAAACCCAGCACTTCCGGGGGCCTCACTTAGCCACCCCTCCACCTGTTGGCATTTTGAGGTGTATGGGGTTTAGGATCTGGAAAATGCCAGATCTATATCTTTCATGTACTTGTTTTGTATTGTTCCTTCCTGGGCCTTGAACTTGGTGTGGCTGCTGTCCCTTAGCTTTTTCCCTCAAGGCAGGTGCTGTACTATTTGAATCATGACTTTACTTCTGCCTTTTTGCTGGTTAATTGGAGATAAGAGTCTCATGGTCTTTTTTTTTTGGGGGGGTCTGGTTGTGGGGCCTGAACTCTGGGCCTGGGCGCTGTCCCTCAGCTCTTCAGCTCAAGGCTGGCGCTCTACCACTTGAGCCACAGCACCACTTCCGGATTTTTTGTTTTTGCTTATGTGGTGCTGAGGAATTGAACCCAGGGCCTCATGCATTGCAAGGCAAGCTCTCTACCACTGAGCCACCTTCCCAGCCCCTCTCATGGTCTTTTCTGCCCACCCTGGCTGGCTTCAAACCATGATCCTCAGATCTCAGCCTCCTGAGCAGTTGAGATTACAGGCATCCCTGACTGGCACCTGGCTACCTTTCCTGATTTTGCCCAGTTCTTAAAAACTTGCCAGACATGGCAGCAAGCAGCTTGAGGCAGTTCTGTGGCCTCTTGCTCCGAGCACCTCTGCCCTAAGGCCCACTGGGCACGGGGTGCTAGGCCCAGGCCGGCTGCTTTCCTCCAGACTTCACACGTGGTTGGCATTGCTGGGAGCATGGGGACACTGGGCCAGGGCAGTGCTGCCCCCCAAGAGGCTGGTGAAAGTTGTACCTGGAACCCACGCAGATGCAGGTGTGCAGGGCTAGTAGTGGGGTCCAGCAGAACATGGCCCAAGCAGGTCAGCAGGCAGTGCCCAGAACAGGCAGAGCATCCCGGGAAGAAGTTGCAGTCTCAAGATACATAATTGCCTGGCCCAGTGGAATTCAAAGGGGATGGACGAATACAAGGAGCAATGGAAGGCGGCTTTGAGTCTATTCTGGGGCCCAGATAGCAGAGCAAGAGGCAGGAGACATGCTCAGACCCATACAGAACCTAAGCTCAGCGTTCTTCAGAGTTGGGGTCAAAGTGAAAACAACGGTATAGGAGAGTCACAGCTGAACGGGCTCTGCGGCTGCCTCAGTTTCTCCATGGAGAGGGGCCTGGGCCCAACCTGTAATGAATGAGTAGGAATGGGCATGGCCTCTGTGTGACTGGATTTGAAACTCTTTTTATTTCTGCTACTGCTGGGGCTTAAACTCAGGGCCTGGGTGCTGTCCCTGAGCCTTTTCATTCAAGGCTGGCAACTACCACTTGAACCACCGCACCACTTCCAGCTACAGAACCGAGGGGCAGACACCTTCCCCAGCACTGGAGAAGGTGCAGGTCTAACCCTTTGCTTTGCCCACAGTCCCTGAGGTTCTGCAGCTCAGCGATGCCCTGCGGGACCACGTTCTGCCTGAGCTTGGGGTGCGGTTTGAAGACCACGAAGGTGAGTGAGGAGGGCCTGAGCCCATGGCTCACACTGACGGCACGCCCAGGAGCTGGGTGAGAGCTGGGATGGGAGGGGCGCTGGAAGGGGACATAGGACCGCATGAGTCTGCGCACTCTAGGGCTCCAGCCCAGCATTGCAGAAGGTGGCTTAGAGGTTACACTCATTACAGGTGACCTGCTTGTCTGCCCTGGGGCCTCAGGGTCCCCTGCCCAGTTTTCTGCGAACCTCTGGCTGCCTTTGCTTTTGTGCTCAATTAGGGACATGACTTGGTCCTGTGACTGTCACCTGCTTTCAGACTCGTTGGAGCTAGGAACTGAAGCCAGGGCCTCACACTTGCTAGGCAAGTGCTCTACTGCTCAAGCCATGTCTCCCTGTCTTCTTTTTTTTTTTCCCCTGGTCTGTTTTGTTGGGTTAGAGCCTCTTGATATCTTTGTTGGGCTGGCATTGGCCTCCAACTAATCCTCCTGCCTCCACCTCCCAAGTAGCTACAATTACAGGCATGTACCACCACTCCTGACTTCAGTGGTTTATTTGTAAATCCTTAGCTAATATGTTGAATTCTGTGACTTCTAACAGGCAGGGCTTCCTACTGCACAACACAATGGGAATATTTCACTGTTGTCTGTAACAGGGTTTGGTTTTGGTTTAGCTTTTCTGCCTGCTGGAGATGGAACCTAGGGCCTTGTGTTTGTGAAGCCACTATTCGCTACTAAGCTCTGCCTCACCCTAAGCTCTGTGTGTGTGTGTGTGTGTGTGTGTGTGTGTGTGCGCGCGTGTGTGCGCGCGTGTGCGCACGCATGCACTGTTTCTTAGCATTTTCCCTCAAAGCTAGTGCTCTACTACTTGAGCCACAGCTATGTGTGTGTGTGTGTGTGTGTGTGTGTGTGTGTCTGGGCACTGTTTCTTAGCTTTTTCCCTCAAAGCTAGTGCTCTACCACTTGAGCCACAGCTCTACTCCCAGCTTTTGGGTGGTAATTAGTGATAAGTCTCATGGACTTTCCTACCTGGATTGGCTTCAAACTATGATCCTCAGACCTAAGCCTCCTGATTAGCTAGGATTACAGGCATCAGCCACCGGTACCCGGCTTGACCCTGAGTTTTAGTTCTTGCTGTGGTGTGCACGTGACACTGGCTTGGCTTACACAAGCCAGAAGGCAGGCCCCAGCTTTCTGGGTGGCGTGCCTAGGAACCTTGGGTGGTGTCCCGGAGGGCTGGGCTGGGGCTGTGGGATGGGTGCCCAGGCCCCATCACTGATGGACTGCTTTTCAGGACTGCCAACGGTGGTGAAATTGGTGGACAGAGACACCTTACTGAAAGAGAGGGAAGAAAAGAAAAGGGTTAGTAACATTGCAGAAACACCATTGGGATGCCTTGGTTAAAATCCCAGCCCTTGTCTGTGTCTCTGTGTCAGAAGGAAAAGTTGGCTAGGTGGGTAACTGTTTGGCAATTTGGTAACCAAACAAGGAGAATGTGTGATGTGTTGCTTTGTTTATTGAGACAAGATAATGCTGTGGAGCCCAAGCTGTCCTCCAAGTTAGGCCCCTTTGCCCCCACATCCTGAGTGCTGGGATTATAGGTGTTCATCACCATGCCTGGCAGAGAATATGTTGTCTCATGAGGGAGCTGAGGGACCTGTTTGTAAAACCTCCTCCCCCAGCTGAAGTAAAACTATTCACTTAGCAAACTGCTGGTGCCACCTGGCAACAGCCCGAGCACCATGGGGTCCGGCACCTCCAGTGGTCCCTCTTCTTCTGTCCATCACTCCCCCATACATCTCTCTCTTCCATACTCCTTTGCCTGGGCCTCCACCCTAGTGTTCAGGGAGGATCTCTCCATTTAAGGACTTGGGGTATGTACCAGGAAAATGAACAAGGCCAAATATATGTGTTGTTAGAGCCAGGTATGGTAGTGCATACCTGTAATGCCAGCACTCAGGAGGCTGAGGCAGGAAGATTGCAAGTTCCGGTTGGAACTTGAAGTAGCAAGACCTGGGGAGGGGGGTGCACATAGTCATAACTATGGGGCACCCTGGGGACTCAGGTGCCAGCAGTGGAGGTGCCCACGCTTCCTGGGCCGCTCTGGGAGCTATAGAGCGGCACGAGGGAAGGTGGATACCAGCTGGGAGCACTGGCAGGCCAGCAGCCCTCTGAGAGCCCAGAGCGAGGACTGCTAGAGCTAACGTTCAGGGAGACTGGTGAGCATTGCAGAGAGCTGGCTTCATGCTTCTTGCTCTCCCAGGTTGAAGAGGAGAAGAGGAGGAAGAAGGAGGAGGCCGCCCGGAAAAAGCAGGAGCAAGAAGTACACACGTTTGCTTCTTTCTTTCTTTCTTTCTTTTTTTTTTTTTTTTTTTTGGTCATGGGGCCTGAACTCTGGGCCTGGGGCTGTCCCTCAGCTTTTCAGCTCAAGGCTAGTGTTCTACCACTTGAGCCACAGCACCACTTCCAGATTTTTCTGCTTATGTGGTGCTGAGGAATCGAACCCAGGGCCTCATGCATGCAAGGCAAGCACTCTACCACTGAGCCACCTTCCCAGCCCATGTTTGCTTATTTCTTTGTGGTGTGGTGGGCCCCCCTCTAGCTTAGTGAGGCACCCTGAGGACCCTCCCATAGGGAGATCTGCTGTGTCCCCCTCCACCCTTTTCACCGGCTGCCCTGAGCCAGCAGAGACATGGCTAAGGGGAGACTGGGCTTGGGGAGTGTCAGGGAGTAGTCCTCTCCTTCATGTCCTCATCCATTGCTTGCTGCCAGTCCAGCTGAGCCCTTCGGAGCAGGGTGGGGGCTGAGGGCAGGAGTGGGTGTGGGGGTGATGGTGTGGGGCTCCCTGGTGGCTCCAGGTCCTGATGCTGTGTTTTGGGTTCCAGGCGGCAAAGCTGAGTAAGATGAAGATTCCACCCAGTGAGCTGTTCCTGTCTGAACTCGACAAATACTCCAAGTTCGATGAAAGCGTAAGGGCTCTGCCGCCGGCCTCACCAGGCTCGCCGGGCTGGGGGAGCGGGGAGGGCGGTTGTAGGCCAGCAGGTTTTCTAGTTTGAGATTGTGAGGACGACAGGGACAGTTTCTGTGTAGATCCAAGGCCTCCCACCCGGGGTGCTGAGTGCTGAGTACCTCCTGACAGCTGGCTCTTCTGGACAGGGTTGAGCCAGTGCTGCCTCTGCCTGCGACGGGCTGAGCGCCAGCCCCACACACTGGGGGGGCGTGGCCTGGCTGAGGTGAAGGTGATAGAAAGTGGGATCCCTGAGCTCTGCAGGCTGCTCCCCACGGCTCTGCCTGCTCCCCACGGCTGTGCCTCGGGACCTTTAGGCCCCATTGCTGGTCTGCACATGCCTTCCAGCTGGCCACCTCAGAACTGAGCAGTGGTAGCCCCGGTGTGCACAGCGCCCCTCACCCAGTCTGGCTGTCTCTTTCCCTTTTTGTGTCTGTGTGCATGTGCCAGTACTAGGGCTGGAGTTCAAGGCCTGGGTGCTGTCCCTGATTTTTTCCTCTCACAGCTGGTGCTCTACCACTGGAGCCACAGCCTTTTTCATTGGTGATGAGAGTCTTATGGGCTTTCCTACCTAGACCGGCTTTGAACTGCGATCCTCATATCTCAGCCTCCTGAGCAGCTAGGATTGTAGTCAGGAGCCATCAGCGCCCCACTGGAGCCACCGCTGCCAAATCAGGACACTGGTTGCTGAGCAGGGGTGGTGATGAGCCACCCACAAGTGGGGACGTGGCCACATGGGGGACCAGCGCATGGAGGCCACGGGGGGAGGGCAGGCGGAGGGGTCTGAGGTACTGGTGCTGTTGTTGCAGGGTCTGCCCACACATGACGTAGAAGGCAAGGAGCTGAGCAAGGGGCAGGCCAAGAAGCTGAAGAAGCTGCTGGAAACCCAGGAGAAGCTCCACAAAGAGTACCTGCAAATGGTTCAGAATGGGAGCCTGCAGTGAGGCCCCTGGCTGCCTGGACTGGCGCTGCTGGACTGACGGGCCTCTGCCTGGCGGCGGGGCCTGTGCTCCGCTCACGGCTCGTTGTCCTCAGACCTTTCTAAGAATTGTGGTCATGCAGGTGCGTGTCCGTGGTGGATCTGAGACCTCAACAATAAATCCTCTAATCCCGAGGCTTGTGCTGCCCTCTCCACAACACCCTGCCCACTCAGCACTTGGGAGCCCAGCCTGGGGCCGCTAGGTCAGCACGCTGGTCAATGGAGCCCCTTCAGCCGGCCGCGGCCCGCCTAATCTCTGCTGTGTGGGCGCATCGGAGGCATTTGAGTAGAACAAAGGCCGGCTCAGCTTGGCGGCCTCAGACAAAGACCGTGCAGTCTGCCCGGCTCTGATGGGCACATGCTGTGGGGTTTCCTAGAAACTGGTCTGGGTAGCGGCAGGGCTGCTGTGCTGCGGCGGGGGCCCGGTGAACAGCGGTGGCGGACCCAGATCCTCAGGCCTGGTGGGTGAGGTGGGGGTGAGTCTCACAGCGGGCGTGCCATGAGGGGCATGCGCTCACCGCCTGCTCCTGGCCTGGTGCTGCCCCAGGCTGAGGATTGGCACCACCTAAGAACTGGCCTGGCCACCCACGGCACAGGAAGGTGTGAGCAGGAGCCAGAAACCCACTGTGGGCCCACAGAGGCCAGGCCAGGCCAGCTCCACGGGGACGAAGGGCGGAAGCAGCTGTGAACCGTCAGTGAAGCAGCCCCATGAGGGCACCTGTGTCAGTGTGAGATGCCCCGTGCCACGCTGCTGACTCCCAGCCAAGACACGGCAGGGCTGGCACAGCCTGCCCGTCCCTCTGGCCTCACGCAGCGCCGGAGCACATGGCCGGAGGCAGTGACTGAATTCAGTTAATGTTTGGCCATTAACGTTTGGTTTCAGAATCTTGTCCATGTTTTATATGAAAAAAAAAACAAACCAAAAACCAGTAAGATCAGGGCACAGGTGGCTCACACTATAAACCTAGCTATTCAAGAGGCTGAGATCTGAGAATCTCAGTTTGAACCCAGCCTGGTGGGAAATTGTGAAACTTTTCTGCAATTAATTACCGAGAAGCCAGAAGTAGAGCTGTGGCTCAAGTGGTAGAGCAGCAGCCTTGAGCAAAGAAGGTCAGGGACAGTGCCCAGACCCTGAGTTCAAGCCTCAGGACACACTCTCTCTCTCTATCCCTCTCCCTCTCCATGTCCCTCTCTCCCTCTGTCTCTCACACTCCCTCTCATACTCTAGCTTGCTTACTCTCTCTTTCTCAAACACACACAGAGGCAAAAAGGCCAGACGACAAAGAAAAGGTGCGTGTTCTAGCTTTCTGCTACAGAACAGACCACTCCAGACAGAGCATGGTAAAAAATACCCATAACCATCTTCTTCTTCTTTTTTTTTGTCCCTGTCCTGCAGCTTGAACTGGGGGCCTGAGCACTGTCCATGAGCTTTTTGTGCTCATGGCTACTGTTGTACCACTTGAGCCACAGCTCCACTTTCAGCTTTTTGGTGGTTAGAGATAGAGTCTCATGGACTTCCCTGCCTGCCTGGCTTTGAATTACAGTCCCCAGACCTCAGTCTCCTCAGCTAGGATTACGGGCGTGAACCACCAGCACCTAGCTAATGACTATCTTCTATTGACTCCTAGCTCTGAGTTGCCTAGGCCCAGCTGGGTGGCTTGTGGTCTCCCGTGGTACCATCGCCCTCACCCGGCGGGGTTGCTGGGCACTCTGACATTGGTGGCTCTGTCTCTGATGCGGCAGCCCATAGCTGCACGCGTGCATGTCCTGAGAGAAAAGGGACTTGCATGGCCTTTTTTGGCTTGAGCCTCAGTGATCAGGTGAAAACCACCTTGGTCCACCCAATGGAGGTGTCTCAGAGGCCCCCCACATCCACAGGAAGGGCAGAGAGGCTGTCAGTGTGTGGGGTGATGAGAAGTGGCTAGTTCGGAATATTCTGGAACACCACACATTGGGAAATCAGCTCCACTTAGGAAGGGAGGATGACCCCAGCCAGGTGAGATTCACCCCCATCCCAGGGCCTGTGTTCTGAGGCTCAAGCGGTAGAGCGCTTGCCTTGAACTGAAGAGCTGAGGGACAGTGCCCAGGCCGAGTTCACACCCCATGACTGACCAAAAAAAAAAAAAGAGAGTGGGAAGTCCTAAGTTCAAGCCACAGTACTGGCACATAAAAATTTTACTGTAACAGATAAAGAAATGAGCAAGGCTGAGTATGGGTGGCTCATGCCTGTAATCCTGGTTATTCAGGTGGCTGAGATCTAAGGATCACAATTTGAAGCCAGCCAAGGCATGGAAGTCTCAGACTCATCTCCAGTTTATCAGAAAAAGCCAAAAGTGGCTCTGTGGTTCAAGTGGTGGTAAAGCAAAAAGGAGCTCAGCAACAGTGCCCTAAAAGCTCAGAGTTTGAGTCCCAGGACTGGCCAAAAAACAAAAAGGCAATGCTGTGAGCTGGACAGAATACTGAGATAACGAGGTTTAGACGCAGATCCTTTCCTGTGCAGACGGGACGCTGTCCCCATCCCACTGCCTCAGCCACCGCCAGAAGAAGTGGACCCCTGGGCCTCCTTGTGTCTAGAAGAGGGCCACCTGGGAAGGCTGATAGAGTTGTTCCCTGGGACCGGCTGATGGCACACCGCATCAAGTTGAGTCTCAAGGGAATTAGGCTAGGAGGAAGAGGAGGAGGAGGGTCAATCTCAAGCATTCACAAGGTTCTGATCCTGGGTAGAGAGGATGCTAGACATTGAGGCTGTAGGAATGGGGACAGATTTGGCTGCCAGGCGCTGTGCTGGGGGGGGGGGGCGTCATCAGCCATCCCGTCTGGAGTGTATGATTGCAAAGCTCTGCCTATGTGGTGGTGACTGGCACAGGGCTTGCTGTCCACACAGCCTGGTGACCATCGGGAAGCCCATGGAAAGGGCCTTGGGACCTCTCAGGGCTGCGTGACAACTTTGGGCACCTACAATTATTTTGAAGTAAAAGTCTATAGGAGTGTCTCCTAGCCAAACCTGGGACAACTGGAGCACAGAAAAGAGTAACAAAGTAAAACCCAGGAGCATGTACTTGGAAGATGGAGAAAACTGGAAGGTACCAATTGTCACCGACGGAGTCTGCCCCTCTCTAAAACCTGGTTCTCTATCAGTGACAGCACTGGGCATTTCTGCTCCTTCTGTGACACTCGGTTGCCACACGGCCCCAGCTGAAGACAGAGTTGCTCCTTACCCAGTGCTGCTCGAAGTAGAAAGTGGAACAAAGGGCTGGGTGCTGGTGGTCACATCTGTAATCTCAGCTACTCCAGAAGCTGAGATCTGAGGATCAAGGTTTGAAGCCAGCCTGGGTAGGCACATCCAAGTGAATCTTCTCCCCACTTAACCAGCAAAAAGTCAATAGATCAGTGGCTCTATCTACTAGCCTTGAGCAGAAAGGCTAATGCACAACTCCAAGTCCCACAGTTCAAGTCCCAGTACCATCACTGGAACAAAACAACACAGTTGAAGAAGCCAGGCTCTTGCTCTGGGGGGAGAGCTGGGATTCCAGCTTCCTTTGTAAAGGTTAGGGATCCATGGTGGAACCTGAGGAGATTGCGGTGACTAGAGAGAATGGCTTAGAGCCAAGACAATAGAACATGGAAGCATTGAGGCCAGGGTTGCATCTCAGTCCTGGGAGTGAAAGCAGCTTAGTGTGTGTCTGTGTCTGTGTCTGTCTGTATGTGGTGTGTGTATATGCGTGCACATGAGCATCAGTGCTGAGGCTTGTAAGTCACTGCCTCATGCTCATGCTCATGTTCTCACTTGGCTTTTTCACCTGACTTGACAGAATCACGGTTGGTGCATCTGCTGGGTTGGGGTGCATCCAGGACTATCCACAAACACCCACCCACCAGGGCCAGTGGACATCAGGCTTTTCTCCTCATTTGGGATAATCTGTGGGACCAAGTGAGGAGTCAAGAGTTTTTCACCAAAAACAGCTTTTAAGCATCTGTGCCAACTTTCTCTAAGAACGTTCACTTCCGGCTGGTGCCCCACCAGTGCCATGCACCACTGCCAACTTTGGGTGGCTGTGTGACTTGACTTCGTGGGTCTTTCCTCAACTGCCCCTTGGCTCCCTCACCCCCACCATGAGCAAGCACACTGGCAACTGAGCTTGGGAAGACGGGTGTGGGGGAGAGTAACCAAGGACTTAGAGTAGCAGCACGTGCAAGGCAGGGGTAGCACAGATCTCAAGAGACTGAGATCTAAGGTTCACCATTCAAAGCCAACCTGGGCAGAAAAGTGTGAGACTTTTTTTTGAACTCTGGGCCGGGCGCTGTCCCTCAGCTCAAGGCAAGTGCTCTACCACTTGAGCCACAGCGCCACTTCGGTTTTCTGGTGGTTCATTGGAGAGAAGAGTCTCACAGACTTTCCTGCCCAGGCTGGCTTTTGAACCATGATCCTCAGATCTCAGCCTCCTGAGTAGCTAGAATGATAGGTGTGAGCTACCGGCACCCAGTGTTTGTGAGATGTCTCTTATTAACCATTAAAAAAATTTAGAAGTGGAGCTGTGGTTCAAGTAGTAGAGTGCTAGCCTTGAGCACAAAAGCTAAGGGACAGTGCCCCGGCCCTGAGTTCCAGCCTCAGTACCAGTGCACGTGTGCATTCATACACACACAGAGGAGTAGCCAACAAAGCCAGATGTGGAGGTAGCCTGGTCAGCCAGCACCACGGTCTGTTCCAGAACCACAGATAGCTGGGGGTTGCTCATGTTCCTAAAGATAGCACAGGGAGTCTGTGAGAGAGAGGGCTCCCCGGGCAGGTGCTGCCATGTCCAGTGCTGCGGGCGGGCTGTGGAACAGGTGATACCAGGCTGACTGTGAGGAATGGGAGGGTGCAGGGTGGTTCTAGGCATTCCAATACTTTCTCAAGCCTCTCTGTAGAGGTTGGGAGTCCCAGCAGGAAGAACTCCCTGTCATCGTGCAGTTACCTTTGGAACGGTGGCCTTTACAGAATTAGACTGTGGCTCTCCTTTGCCTACACTGAGACTGCATTTTGTGTTCTCTCTGGAGTAAATGTACATTTTTTTTGATATCTTTATGTTTTTGTGCCTAATGCTCTCACTTGACTTTTTTCTGCTCAAGCCGCAGTTCCACTCTGCTTTTTGGTGGTTAACTGAAGATGAGTTGTACAGACTTTCCTGTCCAGGCTGGCTCCAAATCTTGATCCTCAGATCTTGACCTCCTGAGTAGCAGTGAGGCAGGTTAGCCCTAGGGAAAGAAGGTGGAAACCCATCCCCTCCCTAGTCATTCCAGAGCCACCCAAGAGTTCTCTCATCTCCCTGTACAGCTTTTAAGATTTGAGGGACCAAAGCAGTTTAGGGAGGAAATGTGACCAGAGAGATGAGTGAGGAGATGGGGAAATTATATTATTTTTAATAAGCATTAAAAAGGGCCAGACTAGTTGACACCAGGGAGCAACAAAGAAAGCAGTTGTTTTCCCTCATTTAAATGATAAGTTATAGCAGGTACCAGTGGTTTATATCTGTAATCCCAGCTACTCAGAAAGGCTGAGATCTTTGGAGCTCGGTTTGAAGCCAGCCAGGGTAGGAAAGCTTGTGAGACTCTTCTCAACTAACCAGGAAAAAGCCAGAAGTGGACAACACCCAGGCTCTGAGTTCAAGCCCCAGTACAGGTACTAAATAAATAAGTGCTTTTAGAGCCATAAAGGGGGCTATCTACAACTGCCTATTTGAAATGATAACAATGTGGCAACTCTTGGTGAAGGGAAGAGACAGTAGATGAGAAGCTGATCTGAGACAAACCCCACATTGTCCCTATATTTTGGGTAAGCCTAGAGACATACCGTATTTCAGGGTACTAAGTAACACCCATATTGGCTACAGTGCTGTTGGCTGACCACATGTGCTAAGCCCTGTTGAGTATTTTTTTTTCCTGTGCTGGTACTGAGGCTTGAACTCAGGGCTGCCCAGGTTGGCTTTGAATGGTGACCCTCAGATTTTAGCCTCTTGGGTAGCTAGGATTACAGGTGTGTGCCAACCCTGCCTACCACCTGTTGCTACCCTAAATCCTTGGCTATCCTCCCCCTCCCCCTTCTTCCCAAGAAGCTAAGTTGCCAATGTGCTTGCTCATGGTGGGGGGGGGCAAGGGGCAGTTGAGGAAAGACCCACAAAGTCAAGTCACACAGCCACCCAAAGTTGGCGGTGGTCCATGGCACTGGTGGGGGCACCAGCTGAAAGTGAAAGTTCTTAGGGAAAGTTGGCACAGGTGCTTAAAAGCTGTTTTTCGTGAAAAACTCCTCTCTTGGTCCCACAGATTATCCCAAATGAGGAGAAAAGCCTGATGTCCCAGCCTCAGCTTTTCTATTTTCTAGTGTCTCCCACTCACAACGAAGGCAAAGCATAATCATCATGGTAGTTAAAGCTGGAAGAAGAATCTAGAACACTAGGTTTCAGGGCTCTGGGTGTGGCATCCAGGCCTCAGGCTCACCATCTCTGTTTGTAGTCAAATTCTGTCTTGAACTCCTCAACCTTTACATGATTTTAATTTACTCTGGGTTATGAAATGCATGACACTGGAATAATCTGCTTGACAAATATTAGTTTCAGAAGTAACCTCAAAGAAAAATCTTGGAAGCCTAAAACAAACGTCTACAGCCCAGTGTAGAATTGAACTAGCCCACAAAGTGTGAATAGATTTCTTTTCTGACGGTCGGGGGCCTGAACTCTGGGCCTGGGCGCTGTCCCTCAGCTCTTCAGCTACTCTGGGCCTGGGCGCTGTCCCTCAGCTCTTCAGCTACTCTGGGCCTGGGCGCTGTCCCTCAGCTCTTCAGCTCAAGGCTAGCGCTCTACCATGTAAGCCACAGCTCCACTTCATGTGGTGCTGAGGAATCGAACCCAGGGCCTTGAGCATGCAAGGCAAGCGCTCTACCACTGAGCCACCTTCCCAGCCCCTGGAGTAGATTTTCGTTGTGTATGTGTGTGTCTGTCCTGGGTTTGATTTGAACTCATGGCCCGAGCGCCGTCTCTGGCCTTTAGTCCTCAAGGCTGGCTCTACTACCTGAGCCACGGCGCCGCTTCCGGCTCTTTGGGGAAGTTAATTGGAGATGGAGTCCCAGGTGGGCTTTGAGCAGGGCTCCATCCTCAGCTGTCTCCCGCGGAGCCCAGGCCGGGCTGGGAGCTTCATGCTTAATTGGTGCTTCTGAACAGCTTCACGTGGG